CCCACTCTCCCCTGAAATCCTCCTTCCCACTCCCCCCCAGAGTCCTCCCCCCACCTCCCCCTGAAGTCCTCCCCCCACTCTCCCCTGAAGTCCTCCCCCCACTCTCCCCTGAAGTCCTCCCCCCACTCTCCCCTGAAATCCTCCTTCCCACTCCCCCCCGAGAGTCCTCCCAGCCCACCCACCCCCACCCCACCCCCTTGCCTGGCTTGGACATCTGCTCCCTGCCGGCTCCTCTCCCAGGCCCTTCTGCTGCCTGTGACATCAGCCCTGCCCAGAGTTTTGTCCTCGAACCAGCCACCCTCCATTCTGGCCTTATTGTCCCTGCTTGTCCCCAAGCCTGAGCCACACAGGGGCGTCTCCTACCACATTTGATGCCTCTCTGCTTCCATGCTTCTGTTCACGTCTGCTCGCTGCCCAGAATGTTCTCTCCCCTCTTCACTTGCCGGTGCTCTGCTCATCTTTCTATACCCAGCTCAAATGCCACCCCCCTGCAAATATCACCTGCAGGCCTCCGCCAGGACCTGTCTCACGCACCCCTGAGGTCCCAGGGCACTGTGCGGGTGCACCGTCTGCCGCAATGACCACCTTCTGCACCCCAGTCTAGCTTTGATTTGTGTCTCTACCCCGTTTCAGGAGGTGGGGGCCTCAAGAGCATGGTCTCTACGGCTTTGTAATAATGATGATGACAATAGTAATAATAATAACCATCATGTGTAGATTGCTTTTGCAGTGGGTCCTACAGGACCATCATACCCTACTTACCCCTCGTAGACCCAAATGAGGTAGGTTCTGAACTACCCCCCTCATTCTACAGATAAAGAAGGGAGCACAAAGGATATCAGGTGGCCCAAGCGACAAAGCCAGAATGGAAAGTCACGCAGACCCCTGGGAGTCTAAAGTCAGTGCCCTTAACTAATGTATAGAAACAGCCTTGCTTGTCGCCAAGACTCACTAGAATCTCCTGGGAGCTTTAAAAAAAACACTGGTGCTGGGGCGCCTGGGGGGCTCAGTGGGTTGTGGGTCTGACTCTTGATTTTGGCTCAAGTCATGATCCCAGGGTTGTGGGATCGAGCCTGGCTTCATGCTGAGATTCTCTCTGCTTGGGATTTTCTCTCTTTTCCTCTGCACCCCCCCCCAACTCCTCACGTTCTCTCTATATATAAATTAATAATAATAATAATAATAATAATATGCTTTGGCCCCAATCGCAGAGAGTCCAATGGAGTTGGTCTGGGCTGGGACCACTCAGATGATTCCACAGTGTAGCCAGGACTGAGAAGCCCCACTCCAGAGCCCACGGCGTCGTGGCTCAGTCTGACCTTCTGGAGCCAGACAGGGAAGAGGATTGGCCACACTTGGCATACTCACCACTGTCTATACCATCTTGAAAAGGGAGCCAGTGACTTATTTTTTAACCAAACCACCATAGCAGAGGCACTAACGTGAATTTGAGCCAACCAGGGTAACCAGCCCTACCCTCCCTCAGCTCCACCCATGGACCCTCCTCCTTTGGATTTTCTCAGTCACCAAAGCCCTCAGTCCCCTCTGAACCCTTCTCAGTATACAGGAGAGGAGGTACCTCTAGAATCATTGGGGCCAAGAGGAAATTCACAGCACATCCATTTCACAGATGGACAAACTGAGGCCAAGAGAGGGGAAGGGATTTGGCCTGGACCACACAAAGCGGTGGGGCCCGAGCTGGAACCCCGCCCTCCCGATGTTTGATGTGGAGCTCTTTCTGTCCAGTATGATTCCAGCCTCTTCCTGCCTCCCACTGGCTTGGTGGCCTTTGGAAAACCAAGTCACGTCTCTGAGCCTGGTTTTACACCCCTCCAACTGGTGGCAGATTCTAACGGCTCCTTGCAAGGATTACACGAAGACCAAATAAAGCGGTGGTGCTGGGGCAAGGAGAGTCCAGTTATTTACTGATCGGGACAAGAAAATTAAATTGGCACAGAGACATGTCCCAAGGATGCCGTGCTCCAGCCCCAGGAACAGCCTGGGCCCTGGGACAGACACCTGCTGTCGTCTGAGGCCTGTCCATCCCGCATCTTGGCTCTGAGTCTCTGCCCAGGCCCTGGGGTGACACTGTGTCCCCATGCTATGCTCAGTGCTGCTCCTTAACTTGTGCACGGCAACGCCAGCACGGCCTGCAGCCTCGTGGAACATTTTCCTCCCCATCAGCCGCTTGCTCCCCAGGCAGCTCGCCTGGCTCTGCCTCTATCTGGCCTCATGCCCTTGAGCAAGTCGCTTGACCTCTCTGAACTTCAGTATCTCTCTACCTCTGCCAAGTGGGTATCATCTGATCCACTCCCTTTCTGCAGGGGGGATCGAAGGAGCCCGCAAGGGGCAGACAGAGCCCTGTCTAGTGACAAACAGCACACGGTCACTTTGCATCATGACCTAACAACGGCCTATGGGGGTTGACTTTGGCCCTTGCCCGTGCCTGGGCCAGGCAGAGGTGAGGAACGAGCCCGTCTTCTCCCTGTCACCCTCCCCCACAAAGACATGGCGGAGATGTGTCAACAGCTGCTGCCGTTCGACTGCCAGAGAACTTCTCTGACAGCGAAGTCACTGTGACTGGAGAGGTGCAGGCACGTGGGGGACCCGGCAGGCAAACAACAGCTGAAGGGGAGTGGGAGGTGGAGCCAAGCTTGTCACTGGACTTGAGCCAACCCCAGGCCGGGAGGCCACCAGATCTCTCAGCACAATCATGGCAGTATTCGCCCCGCCTCAAGGGGGCGCCCGGGAGACACGAGGCGATGCCATCTGCCTGACTGCAAACCACCCAAGGCGCACAGCAAGCCCCACCTGCTGGTGTTGGGGTTAATCGTCCTGCTCAGGCCCCCTGGCTAAGCAGCTGGGGACGAGGAGGGAGGCAGCGCTGGCCACCACCAGGTACAACTTTGCAAGTCCTTAAAGCACAGGATGCATCTTGTCCAATGACTGCTTCAACCCAGCAGAGCTATTCTGAATAATGAAGGGATTCAGTGGACACCAACCAATCAGAAAGGAAGCCAGCTGGAGCAAGGGACTGAGGTCCCTTCTTGTGCCAAACACTAACCCCTTGATTATTGGCACATGGCTATCCCGAGGGACTCGGGGGAGGGGAAGCTGGAAGGGCACCTGGGAGCACGGCTGTTTGCTACCTGGTGTGGAGAGGCTTCAATATTTTAACAACCGGTACCTGAATATCTTTTTTGCTCAAAGACACATCCTTAGCTAACATCGATGTTTCCCTTTCTGCAAAAGCAGGGGTAAAATGACCCCCACCATCGTACATCAGCTGATACCCTTCATTCATTCGTTAAACAAACATTTGCTGAGCACGCGCTACGGGCCAAGTTCTATGAGAGGTGCTCGATACAGAGCTGAAGGAGAGAGATAGCTATTGCTCTTAACAAATTCCTCGTCTGGCAACTATGCCAGCCACAATGAAGACAGACACAGAGGCGCTGGGGGAATCAGAGGACGGAGGGTAATTGGGAGAGCTTTCCAGAGATGTTCCAGAGATGTACTATTTGAGCTGGGTTTTGAAGGACGCATAAGAGTTCAATAGACCAACTGAAGAAAGGACACTCCTCAAAGTGGGGAGAAGGATGCCGAGTGACTGGGGAGCCTCATAGGACAGGACGATGGGTGTCACAGGCCGCTCGCCCCCTGGCCCTGCTGTCCCCTTCCCCTAGAACCACTTACGTCTTGCTCAGGAGAGCCGAGCGCCGCCTGCTTCCTCAGTCTTGCCTCCTTGGACTCTTTCTCGGTCTCGCGGACCAGTTGCTTAATGAAGCCTCCTGGGATGACAGAGAACAGGGGAGGGGGCGAGGACGGTGGGGGGCTCTTGTCCTCCTCCCGAATCTGTTTCGCGGAAGCAAAGAAGGAGAAAGCTCAGTGAGTGAACCAGTGGGAGCCGGCGGCCCTTTAAAGAGTTTGCCGCGGAACCTGGCTCTGGGGGAGAGCCGGGGAGGACATACGTGACCAAGCGCATGTATGAGCATCGTGGCAAAGCGGATGAAGCCCGGTGGGGGGGGGGGTGCTCTGGGGCGCCTTGAGGCAGCACACGAAGATGGAATGCATGAGTCGCAGAGGCCACCGGGTCAGTGTGAATTTCTGCCAGGACCGAATTTCCTCATAACCTGAGGTTGGCCTGAGGTCCCTTCCTGGGCATGGAACTGACCGTGCCTGGGAGCATCTGCTCAAAAGGGGCTTTTCCACTTTCCAGAAAGGGATGGATCCTAGGGAACCAGCCACATGCTCGGCCTCGGCTTGCTGTTAATATAGCGGACGAATCGATTGCCCATGGCGTGCCAGGCACAGGGTAAGGTAGGCAGTGGCTCGCTGCCATGGTTTCTGTAAAAATCCAACCCTGTGGCTACAGCCCACTCCACTGACCCGGAGCTGTGGCTTCTTGATGGCCCTTAAACTAGGCCCTGACAGCCAGGGCTGGAGACTGGCATTTCACAGAGCAGCAGGGCCCAGACCCAAGCTGGCTGGAGGGAGTGGGGCAGCTGAAACTCCCTCGTGGACCACAACGACCTTGGGGGCTGGGGCAATGCCACCTGCTCTGGCCGACAGGGGTTGGGAGATATATCTTTAACCTGCATTACTGTGACTGCTCACGAGGGGAGAAAAAATCTACAGCACTTTCTACAGCAGAGCTACACACTGGTTTAAATAAGCTCCTTATCAAGGTCCTCAGCATGTGGCTGGCAAGAACTTGATCTCCGCAGCCCAGCGGGATCCAAAGGAGATGGGCAAGTCCAGGAGGCAAAGCAGAGGCCAGGGGATAAGGCGGGTGGATGCAGACCTCTGTCCAGGGAGAGAAGCAGGGGACGTGAGGGGTTGGTTGACACCACACTTGTCCCTCTCAATGGAGACTGAAAGCCGTGTCGTGGCAGAGAGGGAGTCCGAGGGCCCGCTCGGCAGGGGCCATCCCTTGCTTCCTGCAGCGCTGCTCTCCGTGCTATACCCAGATCAGTGGGGGAGGGGCAAACAACCGGGAGGCAGCCAGAGAGAAGCTGCTGGGCCACCCCATCCCTCAGCCTGCCAAGTCATCAAATCATTCACGAGGGTGGGATGCGGGGTGAAGGAGACAGCAGGCATCAAAGAAAGAGACAGCCCTTCGCAGTGTCTTGTGGGGAGTACAAAAGAAACGGATAACTGAGGAGAAGGGCCCGATTCCAGTTCTCCATGGTGACAGAAGGCAGGGACCACAGAAAGCCGTCCCCATGGCATACGTCTGGCAGCGAATGGCTCTGCCTCTGCACCGCCACCCACACAAACCCGGAGCTCATCAGCCGCCGTGACGATGCAGACGGGGCAGCTGGTCTACCCTGATTCCCCCGCCACCTACTGAGGAACACGAAAAGACGGGCAGGCATGGGAGGAGTTCAGGGAGTTCACGGACTGGGTTGGAGAGGCTGCGGCTAATCGAGGCGGCCTGGGGGGTGGGGGGGATGGAAGGTGGGACTGGTCACATCGCAGGGAGGGCTGGATGTCAGACCCCCCGCCTGAGGCAGGACGGGGCAGCCTGGGCCACCCACATCTGACTTGCCCTTCCAGGGTCGAGTCGGCCCTGCGGCTCCAGCCTGAGCCCTGAGTGCTACTTTCCTTCTGCTCCCACAGGGCGAGGCGTGATGAGATGGCCATGCTGAGGTCAGGGCTGAGATGAGGTGACACGGGGCTCTCTGCAGACAGCACGAAATGTGGCTTTATGGACACACACGGCACGTTAGGTGAACAGGCACCAGACTGACACACGGAGGCACAGGTGGGGGTGGAGAGAAGAGAGATACAGGTTAGATCTTGGACACAGCCCTGCTCCCGCCCCCACCAATGCCAAGAACCAGGGTCACATGTCTGGGCACAGCCCCCTGGAGGGACGATGATCAGCATGGAGGCCATTGGCCTTGCAGTGGACAGTGCCCCGAAATCCTTTCCCCCTTAACCCCGCATTTGAGCTTGTCATTGAGACAGAACATATATCAAAAAAGTACATAAGTATATAGCTCAGTGCCTCTCATCTAAAGAATAGGCCTATTTAATCAGCAACCTGATGAAGAAGAAAACATATTATTTTATTTGTGAGAAGTTCAAGAACAGGCACATTTAATCCATAGTGATGAAGGTCAGAGGACCTGTTAGCTTTTGGCTGGAAAGGGGCCCAAGGGAACTTCCTGGGGTGATGGAACTCTTCTATATCCTGAGCTGAGAGAGGACCACAGGAGCGCATCATAGGAAAAATGTCACCCAGTTGTACAATTAATTCATTGGATGTCAATCCTACATCACTTCAAAAATAAACAAAACAGAGACACCCGAGTGGCTCAGTCGGCCCAGCCTCCAGCTCTTGATTTCAGCTCAGGTCATGATCCCCGGGTCGTGGGATGGAGACCCGCAGCCGGCTCCGCACTGAGCCCTGAGTGTGGAGCCTGCTTACGATTCCCTCTGTCCTCTTCTCTCAGCTCACACACACTCCCTCCCTTTGTCTCTCAAATTAAAAAAAAAAATTAAAAAAAAAAAAAGAATGAAAGGCGAGCCTGGGTGGCTCTGTCAGTTAAGCATCTGACTCCTGATTTGAGCTCAGGTCATGATTTATGTTCGTGAAATTGAGCCTCGTGTTGGGCTCTGTGCTGATATTGTGGAGCCTGCTTAGGATTCTCTCAGGGCGCCTGGGTGGCTTAGTCGGTTAAGCGTCCGACTTTCGCTTAGGTCATGATCTCGCGGTTTGTGGGTTCGAGCCCCGCATCGGGCTCTGTGCTGACTGCCAGCTCAGAGCCTGGAGCATGTTTCAGTCTGTGACTCCCTCTTTCTCCGACCCTCCCCTGCTCACGCTGTTTCTCTCTCTCTCTCTCTCTCCTAGAAATAAATTAAAAAAACATTAAAGAAATTTTTTTTAAATTAAAAAAAAGGATTCTCTCTCTCCCTCCCCCTCTCCCTCTCTGCCCCTCCCCTGCTTGTTTTCTCTCTCTCTTTCAAAATAAATAACTAAATTTAAAATAAATAAGTAAGTAAAAGAAAATGAACAAAACATGACGGCCCCCTGGCCTTCCCTCACATCCCCTTCTAAAGTTACTATTCCCCCCGAGGGCAGCCACTGTCCTGACTCTGACTAGTCTTATCATAGAATAGTGTCTTTTACTTTTGTGCGGGAGCAGGGGGTGGGTAAGGGGGGGGGGGGCTCCATAATTGGGTCACACATTTTAGTAAAGGCCAGGAAACCAAAACTATTAATTGGGCTGGTGCTTTGGGGGAACCTATTCAGCGTATTTAGCATCTGATTGAGAGTCTTGACAAATGTTCACAACTTTTGACCCAGCAAGGCCTCTTCTGGATCACGAGCTTGAGGAAGTGATTCTAAAGCAGAGAATTTCATCACTGGGTGGCTTGTAGCCCCAAACCCAGAGGCACGGCCCATGTGCCCAGGAACTAGAGTAGGTCAAATACATTAGAGCCCATCTGACTTGAAGGAACATGCCATGAATCCACTGAGAAAGGTGTGTAGGAAACATTTTTGAATCCGCTTCATTGAGGTATTTCTACGCCAGCTGTAAGCGTCACCATTTGTAAATTTTCCCTGGAAAGTTTAGAGTTTGGCCCCCATGACTTCAATCCCGTCACCCCCAAAAGACCCTTTGAGACCCGTTGTGGGGTTCTTGGGTGACTCGGATGGCGTCTGACTCTTGCTTTCGGCTCAGGTCACGATCGCACAGTTCATGAGTTCGAGCCCCATGCTCGAACTCTGTCCTGACAGCGCAGAGCCTGCTTGGGAGTCTGCCCCTCTCCCTCTCTCTCAATGTCCCTCCCCTGCTCGCTCTGTCTCTCAAAACAAATACAGTTTAAAAAAAGGAAAAGACCATTTGCAGCCACTACCTGTTTGCACCCTCAGCCCCAGACAGCCTCAACATCTCTGTCTATTGCTATAGATCGCCTTTCCGGGACGTTCCCTATAAACAGAACCCTAGCACACGGAACCCATAGAGTCTTTCCTTTGCATAACGTGTTCGAGGCTCCGCCACATTGTTGTGCATACGAGCACCTCATAACCATCCGTGGCTAACTGCCGTCCCCTTGTACACATAGGCCACCTCTCGTGCGTGGGGTCATGATGCAGCTCTGACCAGGCCTGTAAATCGCTGGCCGCCACCGTTTCCCTTTCTTAGGTAGATCCCTGGGCAGCGCCGCACTGAGCCACGTGGTGACGTTATGTTTGACTTTTTAAGACGCCGCCGGGCTGCTTTCCCAAGTGGCTGCGCTGTTTCCCGTGGCCACCTGCAGTGGGTGAGGCTTGTTCAGGGCGCGTGCACCGTGACACCGTGACCCTGGAAGGTGGGCGCGTTTCCTTGCTGAGACTAGAAGACAGAGCGCAAGGCTGCACGCACTAAACTGTCCAAAAGGGGCAAAGCCCAAACTACCCTACAGAAAGCGAAGAGCGGAAGGAAATACACCAAGAGCTTAAAGGAGGTGGTCAGGAGTGAAGGAATGGGCGTCTTGTCCTCCCTCCGACTTTTGTCACTTCTGAGCTGGGCGTGCCCTGAGAGCTGTGGCCCCCCCACCCCCACGCCTCCCTCCCTGTCCCTTCCTGGAAGATGCCCCCCTCCCCGGCTGTCAGGACAACCATCGCCATTGAAAACCAGAGTTTCCATGGTCAGCCTGTTGAGTAGCCGCTTTCAGAGACTTATCCACAAGAAGACGGTCCGCACAGAGTTCAAGGTGATACCGCATGCCGCCCAGGCTGCTGTCTGTCTGTCAGGAGGCTGCACATTCTGGACACTGGTGCGGTGGACCTGGCTGGGCTGAAGCTGGCTCCCCACATCTCACGAGAGCCCACTGTGGCCACCTCTTTCCAACTCTGTGTTCTCTGACGTCACCTTAATGGGAGTGTTTACACCCCAGAAATGGGTGGATGCGTCAGATCGGGGCTTTTGTTCCAGGACCTGGCCATTACATGTTTACCAGCACGTCACTGGCTGAGACCCTGGGGCTCCCGGGGGGCCAAGCCAAAAGGAAATCTCAAGATCTAAAGATCTGAGAAGGGACAGTTCAGCTCTGATGAGGCCACGGGCTCACGGGCAGAGCCCGGAAACACGTCCCAGGCCAAACAGCCAGCTCTTTGCCTTGAGACAGAAGTTCCTCACAGGGTCGTCTCTCCAGCTTGCAGACAGATAGACGACGGTGGAGAATGGACGCAGGATCAGACCTCCGGGGAGAGGGGCTGGGGGAGGGAAGGGGAGACCCTGGGGAGGCCCCTGAGTGACTCATAGCCGGACTCCAAGCTCCTCCGCGCCTGGGAAGAATAGCCCAGGTTATGAATAGGCCTGACGTGAGGGAGCTGCCCTGGCCACTGCCCCCCCTTCCAACGCCGGCTCCCCCTGCGGCCCAGGCCTGGCCAGGTCAGTGGCGGCTTCCCAAGGGTCACCCTCGGCTTCGAGGCTCCGGGGACAATCCTGGCTGTCAGTAAGGGCTGTCCTCAGCCGGGGCTGCTGGCCTGCCCGGAGGCCCGCAGCACAGGGGCCGACGTGAGGGAACTCAGTATGGGGCCATCACTCTCCACGTCCGGCCCGTCAGAGGCATCAGGCCAGGCCCAGTGACCCGGGGCCAGGAGCCAATGCTACTGGGAAGGCTTTGTCAAGCCTTAATTTAAGTAGGTGTTCTTACCACCAGGGCCCCTTCCAGGTCTAAAACTCACACCTGCCTCATCAGCTTCTGTTTTAAGCCCGCGAGGAGGCCCCGGTTGATCAGAATTCACGGTATAATGCCTGAAGCCTCCCCTCAGGGGTGGGGGAGACTGGTGAAAGGAAAAGTGATCCCCAAAGCCAGGAACAGCTTGGAACAGTTTTTCCTGAATGCACGGTGGATCTGAGGGCCCCCACAGGGCCCTCGAGGCTTTCCCTCTCACCTCCCCAAGTGTCTAGTCCTGACCCAGTGGCCCGGACTCCAATGACGTCGCCTGCCTCAAAACACAAATTCCCAAGTCTTTATAGAGGCCTGCGTGGCCCTGACAACCAGCTCCCCTAACCATCTCTCCTGCTTGCCCCTCTCCTCCGGGCACACCGACCTTCTGCAGGCACCTTCTGCACAGACTCCCACCTCAGGGCCTTTGCACATTCTGTTCCCTCGGCTTCAAATGCTTGTCTTTCTGCGTGGCTCACCCCAGCACCTCCTTCAAGCCTTTGCTCAGAGTCATCTCATCAATGACCCTACCTTCCCTATTTAAACTGAGGCCTAGCCCCTCCGCACTCCATCCCGGCACAGCCCACATACTTGGCTCTCAGGGAATGTGTGTTGAATGAATGAATGAGTACAGGGATGGGTAAGGAAGGATTAGGAGCGTAGCTGAGAAGGGACGGAGCGGGTCCTTGGCCACAAGCCTATGACAGGGTCTCCTAGCATCCCCCTGTGCTGCCTGCCTTCACGGGGGTGGTGGGTGGGGAGGGCATGTGTTGTCAAGGCCCATGTTCATGCCCTGCCACCACCATCACACTGTGGGACCCCAAGAAATTCTCTGAGTCTGTTTTCTCAGCTGTACAATAAGCCACACACATTCTATGCATGTGCTTGATCACTGCTCTCAATTGTATTCTCATTTCTTTCTGACTCAGTGGGTCAAAGCTGACCCGGAGAACCCAGCTTCCATTGCCTCCCCCCAG